GACCTTCTTACAAGAAAAGTCAACGGGGAAGTCAGATTCATTTAACAACCGTGTTACTAACCCTAACAATTGCAGTGATTCACTTAACCACTGTAGCAAAAAGATTGTAAAATGGGGGAAATTCACTTAAGAAATGGTTCGCTTAGCAACATAAATTTTGGGCTCAATTGTAGTCGTAAGTTGAGGAGTACCTGTACAGCATTGCCTGGCGGGCCCAAAATTAGTACCTGCTTTCCCCCCACCCCCCCCAAAAAAACAACAACAAAAAAAACTAGGCCATAAATGACCTTAAGGCAGGGGTCTTCAAACTTGACAGCTTTAAGACTTGTGGACTTCAACTCCCAGAATTCCTCCTCTGGTCATGTTAGCTCAGGAATTCTGGGAGTTGAAGTCCACAAGTCTTAAAGCTGTCAAGTTTGAAGACTCTTGCCTTAAGGAGATAAGTACCCCCTTTCCCCCAGGTTTTCTGGCCACTCCCAGCAGATACTCAATGGAGAATTTTACTTTTAAAAAACAAACAAACCTGCATTCTTTCAAATTGGACTGGAGTGTTGGCTCTTGAAAGAGAAACATGCAGAAATTCTTGTTGCTGTTTTTCTTTCCCTCTCAAAATAGCTGATTAGGCCCTTCTGGGGCTTTAGGGCTCACCTACCTGGGCTATGCTTGGCTCAGGAACTTTATTACTTGCAAGTTAAGCTGCTTGGGTTAATTAGCCTCAATGTTGCTGCTAATCCGGAGCTCTGGAAGTGGTACAGGAAAAAAGCTTAGCTAGCACATTTTCCCCTGGATCCTTCCTGTAGCAATGGCGGAAGGCCTTATTATCCCTTGAAAAGTTTCTCATCTTCACAACGTACTGCTGTGAATATCCTGCAGCTGAGGACTACTCTCTTGTTTCCTTGTAGCTGTGTTATTGTGCGCTGCTTCTTCATATGCCAGGAAAAACTTGCCGCATGTGGAATCCAGCTTCCTGTATGACTTCCTTCTTGCCTTGATCATTACAGCAAAAATCAAATAGAATTCTTGGCTGGGAATTAAAGACCCCATGGAGTTGTCAACAAGGAGCTTTTGTCAATCAGAGGCAGGCTAAGTTATTCTCTTATTACAGGAAGCTAAATGAAAAGATAGCGCATAACAATGGTTGCCTTGTATAACTTGCATGGGCTGCAGACATCCTGAAGGAGGAGCAAAATAAACATAGGGGATGATGAAATGTCATCTGTTAATTGACTATTTTTAGCATGCACCACTTTTCTCTCTAAAGGGCAGTGAGGTGGTTCACCATTTTAAATCATGGCTTAGAATCACACCGGCATTTAACAGAGGTATCTGCAAAGGTGTGGTCATAACAGTCAAGATGGAGGTCTGAGTGACTGTTGTGATGGAGATTTTGTTTGAGTGGGTGTGGGTGTGTGCATTAAAAATGGTGCAGCTTTAACCCTGTGATTACCATTTGCAACCTTCCTAGCTGGTTCCCGCAGTCACTGGGGAAGCCTGAAGGAGTTTGCAAGTTGCAATCACACGATATGTGATTCACTTAATGATCACAGTAAAATGGTTGTAAAGTCAAGTGCAGTCACATGATATCTCACTAAATGACTGCCCTATTTAACAGCTAATATTCCAGTCTCTATTGGGGTTGTGAGTGGAAGACTGTCAGTAGAATGTTGTGTGTTTATTGAGCATTATTAGCTCACTATACAACAGATAAAAGGGCAGAGGATGGCTAGACACGAGTGGGGAAATCTATGACCTTCCAAAGTTTGGTTGACGGTTATGAGCCCTCAAGACATTGTGGACTGTTAGTGATCACTTGTATCAGGGGTCCCCAACATCCAGGCCCTCAGCCACTGCCAGTGAACAATGGGCAAGTGTGTGTGGAGCTCCACTCGTGCAAGCATCAGACAAAGCTCCACTCGCACGAGTGGAGGGCACTTGTGCTCGCACACGAAGCTCCACTCACACAAATGGAGCTTCGTGTGCCAGCACAAGCGCCCTCTGCTCAGACGCCCTCCACTCGCACAAGAGGGGCTTCGGACGAGTGGAGGGGGCAGGCGTTCGCAGCTTGCACCAATTGGAGCTGTGTGCGTATGCGCCTGCCGTTCACATGCCGACTTAGATCTTTTCCAGGATATTTTATCTCCAGCCTGGCCATTTAGATCTTCCATCATTGCTGTTGCTGGCCATCCTCTTCCAGTAAAGGCCAGCACAGGTAATTCCTCAGCATACAACTACAGCTGAGCCCAACGTTTCTGTTGCTTGAGAAAATTGAGTGACTTTTGCCTCATGTTACGATGTTTCTTGCCACGGTTGATAAGCGAATCACTGCAGCTGTTAAGTTAGTAACACACCTGCTAAATGAATTTGGCTTTTCCTCATTGGCTTTGCTTGCCCAAGGGTCACAAAAAGTGAACACATGACCCCAACACTCTGTTACCGTCATAGATATGAGTTTTGGTCATGTGACCACGGGGATGCTGCAGTGGTGTGGAAGTGTGAAAAAATGGTCATAATTCCCTTTTTTCAGTGCTATGAACTGAACGGTCACTAAATGAACTGTTGTTCATTTAATATCCAAGCGCCATTCATTTTCATCCTCTGATTTAAAACATCGCCATCTGCTCCTCATCTAAGAAGGATTCCAAGGTAGATGATAATGTGTAATAACAACTAAAATCTCAGCCTGTAAGCTTCCTATCCAAAATAACAAAAAAGAAGCAATTCAGGACTGTGAAAGAGGAAAAAAAGAAACTAATGTTACATTTCCTAGTTTTAAATAAGGTTTTTTTAGAGGAATGAATTTTAAAACCCCCCAACTCTGCAGCTGCTGCTTTTCTGTGCAGTGGATGAAACCAGGTTGGTCTTCTTGAACAGGATAGTTTAGTCTTGAGAGAGAAGACTGAGAAAAAGACTGATAATTTCTCCAAATAATGAATTAAAAATAATTAGGGTGGTAGTTTGTTTGGCCTTGGGGCTTCACTTTGTTTTTCTGTCCTGCCTGGAAAGAAGGCGTGAACCTGGTAACACAGAAGTCTTGCTGGAGTGGGCAGAACTGAAAAGCCTCTTTTCCTATTTGTACAGCTTTTTGAAATAGGGCAAATGGAAAAAAATCTGTTTCTTCACTGGGAAAATCCATCTGCTTTTTTTCACATGGGTGGTTCAGGGAATATCAAGTAATCAGTGCCTTAAGCATTCAGGGCAATTTTTGCCCCTTGGCTTCCTCATCCTCCAAAACCATTTTTTAAAATGATATAATCCAGGATTCTGAAGTCTGATATGCTGTAAACCTGTGTCTTGGCCATACCATTTCAGAAGTATTATATGTAGTCCTTGACTTACAGTCATTGGTTTAGTGACTATTCAGATTTACAGTGACACTGAAAAAAGTGATTTATGACTGGTCATTGCACTTACGGCCATCACAGCTTCCTCATGGTTACGTGAACAAAATTTGGGCAGTTTGCAAGAGGATATATTTATGACATTTGCAGTGGTGTCCTAGGTTCACATGATCCATTTGCAACCTTGTCAGCTGGCTTCTGACAAGCAAAATGGGAGAAGTCAGATTCACTTAACGGCCATATGCACTTAACAACTGCAGTGATTCAGTTAACAGCCAAAGAAAGGTGGTTAAATCAGGTAAAAACATCTGCCTTGTTTAGCAATGGAAATTCTAATCCCAATTGTCATAAATCAAGGTCTACCACTATTGAGCAGAGAGGAATCACAAGTCTTGGTTTCTTTTTTTTGAAAACTGGGATTTGGGGGTGTTGGTTTAATTGTTTCCTTTGATTTTATTATGGTGTTGTGAGCCTCCCAGAGTTACAATACGTAAGATGGGTAATCATATAAGCATCTGGCATAAATAAATGTTGGATGAAAGACAGATGAGACTTCTTTTGGGAATGCCAGTTTTCTGGGTGGAGAAATGAGTTTTGTTATTCAGGGTCATAGTTGGTCTTGTCTTATTAAGGTTTATGCTGAAATGTAGGTGAAATAATTGTGATGGAATTTGATTGCTTGAATGTGACAACGGGTAGAAAGCTTCCCCGAGTAATCTGGTTCATTTACTTACAGGGATGTGGCTGTTCCAGAAAATATTGAATAGGGACATTTTTCTTATGCAAATGAATATAATTCCGATTACCATATTCATCGCAGTATCTATAGCCTGTTCAAAGACACGGGGGCTGTATTATTTGATGCAAGGGGGAGACAGCCAAGTTTCAAACTCTTTTTTTTATAGAACATTCACCTAGAAAAGCAAATCCTGTGAGGGGTCCTTGGCGCTCTCTGAGCTTGGTTGTTTTCTTGCAAACGTTTCATTACCCAAACTAGATAACATCAGTGCACTGATGATGCTACCTAATTTGGGTAATGAAACATATGCAAGAGGACAAACAAGCTCAGAGCGCATCAAAGATCCCTCAGTTCAACCCTGAGCTACAAACATTCTCCTTTATTGGTAGCAAATTCTATCCAACTTTGAAATTGCCAAACTTGCCTGAAGTGCAAAATTTTTGGAGGCAAATTTCTACTCCATAAAATTTTCCAGCCCACATCTCTGTTTTATTGAGAAGAAAATCCCATTATCTTTAATAGAGGCTGTTTATAAGCAGACAACGTGGTGTGCTTAATGTCTCATTGCTCACATAACTACTCTGGAAATATTCCGACTTCAGAACAGCAGCTTGGTACATAACTGCTCTGATCGGAATAGTGTTGGAACATTCCAGCAACGTTGGAACAGTGAATTTCAAATTTGAATCAGCTATTTTGAATTTGAAATAATTGAGAGTTGAAACATTTTGAACATCCAGTTGCGCACATGCATAAAGCCTCACAGGAAAGTTTGATTGCAGATTTGGAAGTTTCCTGTAAGAAGGAAGCCATGTTTTCTGGCAGCATTCATCCCAGAGCTCCTACCTAGGTTAGGAATGGGATTGTAAAAACAGCCTGTTTCTGTGTTCACCTCCTCACCATGTTCTTCTTTTTTTTTTCAGGGCTGGCTTTGAAGAAGGCAGTTCTAACAGAGGTAAACATTTGCATTTATTGGCCTGTTGTGTTTTCGGTTTTGACATGTTCCAGGTGCATTCTTAGCTGCTTTCAGAAATACAGTTTTATATACTCCTTATATTCCATGAGAAACAGATCTAGTAAATAAAATAAAAGTTAATAGAAATAGGCTATTTCTCTGAATATACAGATAACAACCATTTCTGTAAATATCCATATTTCTCTGGATCTATAGGTTCCATAGATTGTCAGAGCAGTGCAGTTATATGCCCATGGGAAGGCTTTATTTTTTTAAATAAAGCAAGTGATTTCCTGTAGAGCACATTAATCACAGTATTTAGAAAAGATGCTAAAGATTTTGAGCACCAGGTTCTCCGAGGTTCTTTAGGCAAGTGACTTCCTCCACAGGAGTGTTCTTGAATGAATGAATGAATTAATTAATATATATGTATGCTGACTCTATAAACCACTTAGTGCTGTAAAGCACTATGAAGTGGTATCTAAGTTTAAATGCTATTGATATATGATATAATACAGGTAGTCCTTGATTTTCAACAGCTCATTTAGTCACCGTTCAAAGTTGCAACATCACTGACAAAAGGGACTTATGGCTGTTTTCCCCACCTATGACCGTTGCAGCATCCCCATGGTCATGTGATTTAGATTCGGATGCTTGACAACTGACTCACATTTATGACGGTTGCAGTGTCATGGAGTCGTGCTCCCCTTTTGCCACCTTCTGACAAGCAAAGTCAATGGGGAAACCAGATTCACTTAACGACTGTGTTACTCGTTTAACAACTGCAGTGATTCACTTAACAAATGTTGCAAGAAAAGTTGTAAAATGGGGCAAAACTCAATTAACACATTTTCTTATTTAACGACATAAATTTTGGGCTCACTTGTGGTTGTAAGTTAAGGATTACCTGTATTATATTCTACCATTTTATCACCCAGCTAGTTTCCACGACTAAGGCAGGACTAGAAATCGCTAGAAGTCTCATGGCGATTGGCCTAAAGTCACTAGCTGACTTTCACAATTAAAGCGAGACTAGAATTCATTGTCTCCTCCTTTGTAGCAAAGGGCTGCAAAGTACCACTAGACCAAACTGGCTCGGAAGCAGCCCTTCCTTTGACTCCCATAACCACAAGCTCACTCCCTTGTCCCAGTCTTGACCCACATCACTGCCCCAAAGGAGAGGGGAGGCATTTGTGCTTTTTTAAAGAGCCAGGCTTACTGACAACAACTACAAGGGGACAAGGAGTTCAGATCACATTTAAGTCTTCTGTAAAGACACTTGGGTGCCCCATTGTAATTCCTGCAGCATTTTACACGGGATGTTACCTGAGATGTTCCAGCTCGAAGGACAGCTCATTTTACCTGATGAAAATTCAACCTATGTGATCAGTACCTAAGGTCATGATAAGGAACAGATAAAAATGAGAAACAAAACCTATTTCAGCAAAATTTGCTTTAGTTCACCTGACCCACTTAGCATGCTGAACCTGGGTTCACCCAGGGTACCGAGCAAACACAGGAATAGTTCTGGGTGGAGATGATGACGATTTTGTGCAAACCACCTCATTTTAACTAAATGAGCAAAGCATAATTACAACAACCATGGCTTAAAGGCATGACTCATCATTCCAGTTGAGAAATTTAACACAAATTTAACACAGGATTACTGAAGGAACCGGAAAGGGTGGAAAAGTGTGTTTGTGTGCAAGTGAATTATTCACAAATGCAGTTCAGCCCACGAGTGTCTTTGCTGTACACCTTCCATCTGGGATGCCTTGTTTTTCATACTTACCCTGTGATGTCACCTCTGTGTATTTTAAAATTATTTGTAACCTTGACATCAGATACAAAAGGGTGTGAGGCTAAATACCCTTCTTTCATTACTCCACTTTTGTGAGGAAAGGAAAATAGGGGCCAGCATCTGATCCAACCTTACAGAATAGCTTTTTCTTGGAATTAAGACTCCCACCTTAACTTCCAGAAACTGCTTAAGATGGAAAACTTCATTTTAATTATGCTACCGTGTTCCATCTTGTGTTTTAGTTTTCCCATTGTGACAATTGGCTAACCATCCAACAAACTTTAGGCCAGGTGTTTTGCAATAATTGCATTGTAAGCTAAGTACCTAGGAACAACAACAGTGACAACATTTTGTTTTATTTCAGTTTTAATAATGCTCACCCTGTTTTACTTGGCTGCATGTTTTAATCGGGTTGCAGTGGGTTGACTTGACTTGGTGATACAGGTAATCCTCGGCTTTGCAACAGTTCATTTAGTGACAGTTCAACAGTCACTGAAAAAAAGTGACATGGCCATTTTTCACCCTTACGACCATTGCAGCATCTCCATAGTCACGTGATCAAAATTCAGGCAATTGGCAACCGACTCAACATTTACGATGACGTCGGCAGTGCCTCGGGATTACGGGATCACTCTTTGTGACTTTCGGACAAGCAAAGTCAATACGTAAACCAAATTCACTTAACAACTGAAGAGCTGTGGTGGTGCAGTGGTTGGAATGCAGTATTGCAGGCTAATTCTGCCGACCGTCAGCAGTTCAAGCCTGACCGGTCTAAGTTCGACCTAACCTTCCATCCTTCCAAGGTCGGTAAAATGAGGACCCAGATTGTTGGGGGCCAGATGCTGACTCTGTAAACCGCTTAGAGAGGGCTGTAAAGCACTGTGAAGTGGTATATAAGTCTTAAGTGCTATTGCTATTGCTAGTGCTGTGTCAGGAAAAGTCATAAAATGGGGCAAACTCACTTAAGGAGTGTTTCACTTAGCAACATAAATCTTGGACTCCACTGTGGTCATAAGTCGAGGACTATCTGTACACACATAGAATGATAAATGATAAGGAATAAGTAAGTAAAGGATGAAGAGTTTGCAGGGATGGCTTTGCCTTCAGCTATCTGCCTGCATGCAAAGAGCAGAAGGACATGTCCGGAGTCAGATTTGCTCCATTATACAAAGGGATTTTCGTAAGCAGGGCTGCCTGCTACGCTGGCTGAGTTCCTAACTGCCTGGAGTCGAGAGAGAAATGCGTATGCTGTCTCTTTTCACTTCAGTGCATAAGCAGTTCTATTATTTGCTGGATTTATCATTGTTCCAGGCTTGTCATCAGCAATAAGCTTTGACAACTAACGGAGCTATTTGCTGAGAACTGGACTTGGGAAAGAGTCGGGTGCCCTAGAATAGAGCTGCGTAAAAATAACAGGGCTATGAGCAACTCTTACAAACAGGTAACAGGTGATAAATAGTGAATGGTGCCCTGGAAAGTTTGTCTTTCCATCCCGGTATGACAAAAGGGGAAAGCTTGTAGAAGATTTCCTCAGATGAAGACCAGAGACTAGAGAGCTGGAATCTGTCACATTAGTGTCCCCAGACTAGGGAAATGTTTGATTTTTATAACAAGACGTCTTCGAAGCATTATCTTAACTTTTAAAAAGAAAACTTAAGTCTTTTGTGTTAGGTCCAGCCTCTTTTCTCTACGGCTTACAGTAGCTTTGCATCGTAATTTATTCTTAAACAGACAGAGATCTTTTTCCTGCTACAACTAGTGCTTGCTTAACAAATTCAAATTCAGGACAGAGCTGGAAGGGCTCTTGGAGGTCTTCTATTCCAGCCCCCTGCCTAAGAGACTCTACACTATTTCAGACAAGTGACTGTCCAGTCTCTTCTTAAAAACCTCCAGTGACGAAGGACACACAACTTCTGGGACTTGTGAACTCCCAATGAACAACCATTCATTGGTTTGACAACTGTGCATGGTGATACTGCTGAATGAATGGTGGTTATCACCCGTCCTCCATGTAACAACGGTTGCAGTACCTCTGGTCACATAGTCAACCTTTTGGGTGCTTGGCAGCCCACCCATATTTACGACTGCCGTATGCACTTCACACGCCCCCGCCCATTTATCTCCCCCTCCTCTCTGCCCCTTTGGCTGCCCTGCACTCCCTGCCTTACAGAGGCCTTGCAAAGGGCCGGGGGGGGGGGGGGGGGGGGATTTGGGGAACGGGGGGGGGGGGGGGCAGCAGGGGTAGGTAGTGGTGGCAGCATGCAGGCCAACCCAAAAGGAAGAGGTGGGGGGAGGTGGGTGGGACTTGAAGAGTTTGGGGTTAAGTAACCAAAGGGATGCCTGGAGCTTGTGCAAGGCTGTTTCATTCCTTAATTTCCCAGCCATCCCCAAAAAGGAAACCTTGGTCCCGGCAACTTCTGGAACAGGGCACAATAGATACGGTCTTTGGGACAAGTTATGTCCTCTTCACTTAGCAGCTCATAGGAACCCAGTCATTGTGATTTTGAAGCCACAATTTAAGGCTAAGAGTTTGTAGAGTTGGATTAAATATGACTTGATTTAGTTTAATATGAACCCAGCCACAGACCCATTGTTTTTAATTGCTCTGCCGTGTGAGATCAACCAGATCGTTGGCTTAGGGTTGGCTGAAGAATTCTGGGAGTTGGAAGTCCACAAGGGTTAAAGTTGCCAAGTTTGGGGACCCCTGCTGTAGTCTATTTCAGTAAAGTTGGGACTTTTTTCTAAAGTCATTTTCTTAATCTGTTCTGCCTCATAAGGCTGGCGTCAGTCTTGCTCTCTATGCTACTGAAGGCAAAGCCTTCTGCCTGATGAACCCCTAGACCACGTTGCCCCTGTCTCTTTAGCAGATAATTATAACAAGAAGTACTTCACCGTTATTTAGGAAGCAGCAGCACTCCTATGGAAAGTGCTGAAGCTGCCTTTTCTAGCCAAGCCATTTCTTATTTCCCCGCTTGGGAGTGTGGCAGCTTTATTAAATGATTGATTAAATGGCTTTTAGAGATTGCCAGCTGCTTTAAGACTATTATAAGACCAGGCTGCTGGATGCAGAGTTTGGAAATACCATGAAATCAAACTGAACAGAAGCATCCAGCGTTTTCCTGTTGCAGTAGGTCACCATGGAGCTTAGGCTTGGAACCTCAGTCTTCCCTCTGTCCTTTGACCTGTCCTAGGAACGTGGTTTGTTAAATCTTGCCCGTCATGGAGAAGGAGAACCAGCATATCTCAAAGATGCTTTTTCAAGAGGCAACGGGACTTTCTCATTTTCCTTTGAAGACATTTCGCTTCTCATCCAAGAAGCTTCTTCAGCTCTGACTGGATGGTGGGGAACAGAAGGATTTATATTTCTTGCAAACAACAGCTGTCTGCAAGGAATATAAATCCTTCCGTTCATCACTATCCAGTCAGAGCTGAAGAAGCTTCTTGGATGAGAAGTGAAATGTCTTCCAAGGAAAACCAAACAAGGTCCAGTTGCCTTTTGAAAAAAAGCACTTTTGGGATAAGCACTTTTGGGATAAGCATGACCGAGAATGACCGAGCATGACCGAGAATCTCCATCGAGAACCAGGATAAGTTTTCCATTCTAAATAAATGAAGCTGATCAAGAGATTTTAGCGTAGGCAGAAGAAAAACAGTTCCTCACATAGCACAAATCAGCTTGTGGGATTTGTAACTGCAAGATGATGTGGTGGCCACTAATTTAGATGGCGTAAAGGATGGGTCTACCAAAAGTTTTTAACCTTAAAGGCTCCATGTTTTCTTCATGCTGTGGCAGTGCAGAAGAACTGTGGTGGCCGAAGGCTTGGTCTTTGACTCCTGTTTGTATGCACTGAAAGGGATCAGCTTGGCTCCTGTGAGAAATGAGATCTTAGAACTAAGAGGAAACTTGGCCTAGTCTAACAGAGCTTTTCAATATTCCTTCTGTACCAACAATTAATATTCTGCGCTTTTTCTCTGCTTGCTTTGATCTCCTTCCTTCTCCAGCCACCATCGCTGACAGGGCAGCCGGGAGCCAGCCAGGGGAAAAAGATAGGCCACCGAGGAGTTGACGCATCAGGGGAAACGACGTACAAGAAGGTCTGATCTCCTGGAGGGTGGATGTTCTGATGGGGAAATAAAAAGGAAAGGATTGGAACTGACTCAGGCCCCTCCACGCTCCGTTTTATCCCAAAATTAAGTATCCCTGCTTCTGGGGAGTCTTGGTATAAGATGGAGGAGGGCGGTGTGACCAAGCCCAAGGCTCTTTACCTGAGCCTTTAAAATCCCCTCTGACTACAGTTGGAGGCAGGAGACATGAAGGAAAAGCCTTATAATAGAACTAAAACCTGGGTCTCCCTTTTTCTAGTCCAACAACTTCACCTCAACACCATACTGGCTATTACAAAATGTTGCTCCTAACCAGTGAAGAGTTGCTGATCTGTATGTTAATTTGTCCCAAAGGTGCTTTTTCCAAAAGGCAACTGGACTTCCTTGGTTTTGTTTTTTCTTTGAAAACCTTTTGCTTCTCAAATCAATCAGAATAGATCTGGAAGAGACCTTGGAAGGTCTTCTAGTCCAACCTCCTGCTCAAGCAGGAGACCCTATACCATTTCAGACAAGCAGCTGTCCAGTCTCTTCTTAAAGACCTCCCTGACGAAGCACTCACAATTTCTGAAGACAAGCTGCTTCACTGGTTAATTGGCCTCGCTGTTTGAAAGTTTCTCATTTCCAGATTGCTTCTCTCCTTGATCAGTTTCCATCCATTGCTGCTTGTCCTGCCTTCTGGTGCTTTGGAAAATAAGTTGACCCCTTTTTCTTTGTAGTCTAGAGAAAAGAAGGACCCCCCGCTCCAGGCCTTCTTTTCTCTAGACTAGCCAAACTCAATTCCTGCAGCTGTTCTTCATATGTTTTTGTCTCCAGGCTCTTAATCATCTTAGTTGCTCTTCTCTGCACTTTTTCCAAAGCTTCAATGTCTTTTTTGTAATATGGTGACGAAAACTGGATGCAGTATTCCAGGTGTGGTCTTACTAAGGTATTGTAGAGCAGTACTAATAGTTCATGTGATTTTGATTCTATGCCACTGTTTATGCAACCAGGGATAGCGTTAGCTTTCTTGGCTACTGCCACACATTGCTGGCTCATACCTAAGCGATCGTCCACTTGGACTCCAAGGCCCCTCTCAGAGTTACTGTTTTTGAGGCAAATTTCACCTAATCTCTGCTTGTACCTTTGGTTGTTTTTTGCCCGTGCTTTTCTTCACGTTAAATTTCATTTTGTTGGATGTGGCCCATTGGTCAGTCTGTCAAGATCCATTTGGATCCTGAGCTTGGCTTCTGGGGTGTTGGCTATTCCGGCTAGCTTAGTGTCATCGGCAAATTTGATGAGTTGCCCTTCTGTTTTCTCAAGTCATTTATGAAGATATTGAAGAGTACTTCTCATCCAAGAAGCTTTTTCAGTTAGAACTAAATAAGTACTTGGATAAGAACATTTTCAAAGGAAAAACCAAGAAAGTCCAATTGCATTTTGTAAAAAGCACCATTGAGACAACCGTGACCTGAATGAATGAGAATCTCTATTGATATCTAAGTTAAGACTTACTCAACTCAACCTATTCTTTGTTGGCTACTACAGACCACATCAACCACGCTGAAGGGGGCAATCCAGCTGGGGATTGGCTACACTGTGGGAAACCTGAGCTCTAAACCTGAGAGGGATGTTTTGATGCAAGATTTCTACGTAGTGGAGAGCATTTTCTTTCCCAGGTAATGTCCTGCTATGGGAAGGGAGACTGGGCTACGTGAAGAGGGAACTGAAGTTGGCCAAGAGAAAGTTCATTTTATTTATTTATCAATTAAATTTATATGCCATCCACCTCCCCATCAAACTGGCTGGCTGAGGAATTCTGGGAGTTGAAATCCACATGTCTTAAAAGTTGCCAACCTTAAGAGACCAGTGGTGGGATTCATATATTTTTTTACTACCGGTTCTGTGGGTGTGGCTTGGGCGTGGCATGGTATGGCTTGGTGGGCAGGGTTTGGTGGGTGTGGCAGGGGAAGGATACTGCAAAATCCCATTCCCTCCCCGCCCCACTAACCTGCTTTCCAGCTCCGTTCTCCTGTGCAAGGCAACAAAAGAAGACCCAGCCAATCAGCTGGGACTCGGGAGGCAGAGAATAGATGGGAGAGGGGCCAGTCAGAGGTGGGATTCTCAACTACTCAAAATTTCCGCTACCGGTTCTCCAGAACTGGTCAGAACCTGCTGAATACCACCTCTGTTGGAGACCCCTGCACTAACTACCTCCAACATGGAGCACTTCCATTGGGACCCCAGCCCAATTGGCAGAACCAGGTTTTAAGGCCCTTCCAGAAGGTTCAGTGAGTGGGAGCGGATCTCACCTCAGGGGTCATGATGTTCTAAAGCATTGCTGGCTGAGGAATTCTGGGAGTTGAAGTCCACAAGTCTTAAAGTTGCCAAGGTTGGACACCCCTGTTCTAAAGGGTAGGAGTCGAAAAGGCTCTTTGTCTGGACCCCACCAGCCAGAATTCCTTGACCCATGGAGTCAAAAGCATTCTCCTTTTATCGGGGCAGGCCAATAATGGGGTTTTTTTCCTTAGGTAAGCTCGAGTTACACCCCCACCTCAAATAGCCAAAACAGAAGGCCTTTATCTTATCAGGGGTAAAAGTGATACATTTCATTATTAATTGTAGGAAAAGTGGAAATGTGTGTCTTGTTCAGTGCAAACATCTGTTTCTGTCTTTCCAAAATTTAGTGAAGGCAGTAATCTCACTCCAGCGCACCACTATCCCGACTTCAGATTCAAAACATACGCGCCCGTCGCTTTCCGCTATTTTCGAGAACTTTTCGGCATTCGTCCAGATGATTATTTGGTAAGATCTGTCTGCTCATTTTTCTCATCCTTTGGAAATAAAAAAGCACAGGAAGTCCTCGACTTGCGACCACAATTGAGCCCAAAATTTCTAATGCTAAGCAAGGCAGTTGTTAAGTGAGTTGCACCCCATTTTAGACATTTTGTTTCGCCACAGTTAAGTGAATCACTGGCGTGGTTAAGTGAATCGTGGGGTCGTTAAGCAAATCTGGCTTCCCCCATTGCCTTTGCCTATCAGAAACCAGTTGGGAAGTTTATCAATCAATAAATACACGATCCCAGGATAGTGTAACTGTCATAAATACATGTCCAGTTGCCCAGCACCCAAATTTTGATCGTGTGAACTGTGGGGATGCTGAAACAGCTGTAATTGTGAAAATCTGTCCCAGGTCACTTTTTTTCAATGCAGTTGTAACATTGAACAGTCACTAAACAAATGGTTGTAAGTTGAGGGCTACCTGAATTGGGGTCAGGATGTATGGCCCAGTGACCTATGGCAGAGTTCCCCAACCTTTCCAGGTTGGGAGGGGAGAGGGGATGATTTTGTGGGAAAGGCAGGTGCATGAGCTTGCGAAGTTCACGGCGACGCTTGTGCGAGTGGGGCCACAAGCACCTTCAACGGTGCTTGCGTTGTGGGGCCGCAGATACCTGTGGTGCTGCTCACACGAGTGGGGCCATGTGCAGGCCAGCCACTCTCACTGCCCGGTGTTGATTAGGCCACCGTCCGGTAGTGAGCCCCATGGCCCACAGGTTGGGGACCCCTTACCTATAGAACGCATGGGTCAGGGTCTTCAGTTGGGATGGGCACCTGGGGAGAAGCCTACTGACATGGTTTCCCACCTGCTATTAAATTCTTCTTGCCTTCTCAGTATTCCTTGTGCAACGAGCCGCTGATCGAGCTCTCCAATCCTGGGGCCAGCGGCTCCCTCTTCTACGTCACCAGCGACGATGAATTCATCATCAAGACTGTGATGCACAAAGAGGCAGAATTCCTCCAGAAACTTCTTCCGGGTTATTATATGGTGTGTATCCGACCCTGTTCCTCGTTGGCTTTTAAGAGTTTGGAAAATGGATCTACATGAAAAGGAAGAACGGGCAGAGCCCATCGTGTGTAGAATGGCTGTTTTCCCCATTAGGCCCAGTTGATGTAGATGAAACCGGTTTTCCAGAATTTAATCCCAAACCAGAAAAAGCTCAGAAGAAGAAAACATCCAGAAAACCCCTAGATCATTCCAGGAATAGAAGTATGAGTTGGCCTGGCCTAGAATGTGAATTGAATGTTCTAGGATGTTCTTGTCTTAGAGTTGTATGAATAGACAGCAAACGCATGCATTGTCAGTAACCAAATTTAGTGTATGCTGACTTGAAACCCAGCAATGTACTACAACTATGAGGTGCTCATCCTAAAAACAGGACTTTCAGCCTGACCAGAGTCAGTTGATAATGAGATGGGTGGCATATAAATTTAATTAATAAATAGGGGTCCCAAAGCTGCTATTTCAAGAGGCAAGTGGATTGTCTGGATTTTCTTTGAAGACGTTTCGCTTCTCATCCAAGAAGCTTCTTCAACTCTGAAGAAGCTTCTTGGATCAGAAGCGAAACGTCTTCAAAGAAACACCAGAAAGTCCAGTTGCCTCTTGAAAAAGTACTTTGGGGACAACCATGACCTGGATGACTGAGAATGTCTATAGACAAATAAATAGAAGCCAGTTTGACCTAGTAATTTAGGTGCTAGATTACAAACTAGGAGACTGTGAGTTCTAGTCCCGGTTTAGGCATGAAAGCCAGTTGGGTGACTTCGGGCCAATCAGTCTTTCTCAGCCCAACCCACCTCACAGGGTTATTGTGGGGAAAATAGGAGGAGGAAGAAATATTAGGTATGTTTGCTGCCTTGAGTTATTTATTAAGAATAATAAAAGTAGGATAAATACCTAATAAAAAGGGAACCTCAGAAGACCTATAGCCAGGGGGGAGGAAAATGTTGAAAGATGCGGTTTGTTTTGCGTGAGGAGCCCTAGATCCCTCCGTTGCAAAGCAGGACGGTCGAATGTATAAAGAATCAGATCTTATGCCCATCATATTCTATCGACCTTTTAAAATCTCCTCAGAACCTGAACCAGAATCCACGGACGTTGCTGCCCAAGTTCTACGGTCTCTACTGCGTCCAGTCTGGGGGCAAAAACATCCGTGTGGTGGTGATGAATAACATCCTGCCCCGGGTGGTGAAGATGCACCTGAAATACGACCTCAAAGGCTCCACCTACAAACGCCGGGCGTCTAAGAAAGAGAAGGACAAGTCGAGCCCCACCTACAAAGATTTGGACTTCATGCAGGATATGCCCGAGGGCATCATGCTGGACGCAGATACATTCAACGCTCTGGTGAAGACACTGCAGAGGGACTGTTTGGTAAGTCCAAAGAGGGGACCGATCAGTCTGAGCTCGGAGTAATCTACTGTTAACAACCCAGCAGGGAGGAGAGAGAAATACAGGCAGTCCTTGACTTACAGCAGTTCATTTAGTGACTGTCTGACTGTTACAGTGGCACTAGAAAAAGCAACTTATCACTGTTTTTCACATCTTCTGCAGCATCCCCATGGTCACCTGATCAAAATTCAGGGGCTTGGCAACTAGTTTATATTTATAATGACAGTTGCAGTGTCCCGGGGTGATGGGATCCCCTTTTGTGATCTTCTGACAAGCAAAGTCAATGGGGGAAATCAGGTTCACTTAACCACCTCGTGACTAACTTGATAACTGCAGTGATTCACTTTACAGCTGTGGCAAGAAAGGTCGTAAAATGGAGCAAAACAGTTGCAACATCTACAGGGGTCATATGATCAAAATTTGTGCAATTAGTGTGTTGTGTATGTCATATAATATGTGGGTATATGCATAGTTTTTATCTAATCTATTTTATCTAATCTATCTATGTATCTATCTAATCTATCTATGTCTGTCTGTCTGCCTGCCTGCCTATCTATCTATCTATCATCTATCATCTATCTATCTATCTATCATCTATCTATCATCTATCTATCATCTATTTATCTATCAATCTATCATCTATCATCTATCTATCTATCATCTTATCTATCTATCTATCATCTATCTATCTATCATCTATCTATCATCTATTTATCAATCTATCATCTATCTATCTATCTATCTATCTATCTATCTATCTATCTATCTATCATCTATCTATCTATCATCTATCTATCATCTATTTATCAATCTATCATCTATCTATCTATCTATCTATCTATCTATCTATCTATCTATCTATCATCTATCTATCTATCATCTATCTATCATCTATTTATCAATCTATCTATCTATCTATCTATCTATCTATCTATCTACCTATCTATCTATCTATCTTCTATCTATCTATCTATCTATCTATCTATCATCTATCTATCTATCATCTATCTATCATCTATTTATCAATCTATCTATCTATCTATCTATCTATCTATCTATCTATCTATCTACCTATCTATCTATCTATCTTCTATCTATCTATCTATCTATCATCTATCTATCAATCTATCATCTATCTATCTATCTATCATCTATCTATCTAATCTATCTATCTATCTAATCTAATCTAATCTAATCTAATCTAATCTAATCTAATCTAATCTAATCTATCTATATCTATCTGCCTGCCTGTCTGTCTATCTATCCCCCCTGGCTTTTACTGTACTTTCTCCCTTTTCTTCTATAACCTTCAGGTGCTGGAGAGTTTCAAAATCATGGATTACAGCCTGCTCCTTGGGGTGCACAACATAGACCAGCTGGAACGGGAACGACAGGTTGACGGTGCCCAAAGCCTGTCTGATGAAAAACGCCCCGTGGGACAGAAGGCTCTGTATTCCACCGCCATGGAGTCGATCCAGGGCGGGGCTGCTCGAGGGGAACCCATTGACACGGATGACACGTAAGGCACATAGGCAGTTTTGAGTTCAGGTGGTCCTCAAAAACTGTTCATTTATAGTGGACCATTCGAAGTTAGGACGACTTACAGTTGTTTTTTACCCTTACTGCCATTTCAGCATTCCCCCCTGGTCACATGATTTACACTCAGACAGCAATAGCACTTCGACTTATATACCGCTTTATAGTGCTTTAACAGCCCTCTCTAAGCAGTTTACAGAGTCAGCCTATTGCCCCCAACAATCTGGGTCCTCATTTTGCCCACCTCGGAAGGATGGAAGGCCGAGTCAACATTGAGCCTGGTGAGAATCGAACTGCCAAATTACAGGCAGATGGCTGCAGCAGAAGTAGATTGCAGTACTGCACTCTAACCACTGCGCCAGCAAGGCTCTCTTGATAACGACTCATGTTTATGACAGCTGCAGTGTCCTGGAGTGATGTGATCCTCTTTTGCGATCCACTGACCAGCAAAACCAATGAGGAAACCAGATTCACTTAACTGTTTTTGCTACAACTGCAGTGATTCACTTAACAAATGTGGCAAGAAAAGTCGTAAAATGGGGCAAAACTCACTTAACAAATTTCTCACTTAGCAGCAGAAATGTTGGGCTCAATTGTGGTCATAAGTCGAGGATTACCTGTACAGGAAGTCCTTGATTTACAATAGTTCATTTAGTGACCATTCGAAGTTCTAACTGCACTGTGAAAAAGTGACTTATGACCATTATTTCACATTTAACGACTGTTGCAAGGATCAAAAGCCAGATTCACTTAACAATCATGTCACTAACTTAATAACCTCACTAATTCATTTAACAACAGTGGCAAGGACAGTCGTAAAATGGGGTAAAGCTCCCTTAACAACTGTCTTGCTTAGCTACGGAAAGTTTGAGCTCAGTTGTGATCGTGAATCAATGACCACCTATATTGCTGACCCTTTGAAACTGATGTCCAGGGAAGGTTTTAGCATGCTGGCTCAGGGTCTGCAATTCTAGGAATGATGTGGCTGTGTTACCCAAGAGTTAATGATGTGGTGCTCCCGGCCCATGGACTGTATGCGTTATGCACTGGCCACACCCACACCCGGTTTAGCGAAGGGGAGAAAATCCCAATACGTCACGTGATGCTGCCGTGACGATGCAAGTTTGACACCTCTGATCCGGAGTGTTTTGGAAAAAGGAAAAGTGTATATCCAAGGAGGTTGGGCCTCCACAGGGTATGGTCAAAAATGACAGGATGATGACCACAATCCTGCAATTGAAGCTCCACTTGTTTTTTTAATGTTTTATATGTGGTATATAAAAAAAATAGAGCTTTTACCACACCATTCCCATCCACCCTTGTGACTCTCTATACCCTGTGGATACCCCCAAAGTTAAGAATGTGGATCACTGCTAATGTCCTTATTGTCAACTATAAAACGTGTATACAAAATGTATTGGAGTAACTGCCAGAATCCTGACACTTTTTGCCTCAGACTGAAAAGATGGTTCCTTGGATTGGTAAAGGCTTTATATATGTATCTTTAGTCGGTCTTGACTCCTGGCCGGATAAGCCCCTCCAGTTTTCTTGGCATCGTTTTCGGAAGCAGTTTGCCATTGTTACCTTCTCCCTAGGGTGGAAAGCAAGACACTGGCCCAAAGCCTGCCAGTTGACTTGGTGCCTAAGATTGGAACTAGAACTCAGGGTCACCCAGTTTCTAGCCCGGTGCTTTTAACCAACTATGTCAAATTGATTCTTCTGCCAGTATCTTATTCTGCTTGTTTTCTGCACTTCTGGGACCAATTGGGCCTTCCAGATGGGCTAGATCAGGGGGCGTCAAACTGGATTTCTTCGAGGGATGGATCAGCATTGTAGATCTCCACGAGCCGGCAGGCGGAGGGAGGGTGGACACGGGGCGAATGCTTCCTGAAGTACCCTGTCGGCCAAAACGGTGCTCGGGGGGGGGGGCTCACACGGTCTTCCCCCCTCGGCCCATTTTTCAGCCTGGACGTCCTCCTGCCATCCACAATGGGGCGGGGGGAGGCTCACATATGGGCCCCCCTGCATTCCATTTTGGCTGCCAGAGGCACCGCAGGCTGGTCCTTTGCTATTTCCAGGTCAGCCCCGCAGGCCAGATTTAAGCACTCCGCGGACCGGATCCGGCCTGTGGCCCTTGAGTTTGACACCCCTGAGCTAGGTGTTTCTCGTAAAAAACGCTAATTCCCCGGAAACGGAGGAATGTGTGAATGATAACAGTGATGGAGGGCTAATGTGTATTTATAATCTCTTTATGCTTTTGCCAGCTCCTAGGGGGAGGATGGGAGAAATCTTCAGCCATGCTCACAAAGCCTGGCATCTAAATCTCTTTTTTTGGAAGGGGGTGGGAATGATTGTTTTCATGTGCCCTTCCTTGACTTCCCTCTTCTCCCTCTTTGGCGCTTTTTCGGGGTGCCTGGAGAGAGAGAGTGGGGGGATTGTCTCGCATCTCAAACGCTAAAGAGAGTTCAGAACACGAGGCATATTGGAGAATGCAATTTGGAGCAGCTGAAGCCCCTGGAAAATTGCCAGCTCCCATTGCCCTAAATGAGAGGCCATTGTGTTGAACGATCATCACCAGCATTTAATTCTTCTCAGTGATTCAGCCAAATCTTTGCAGCGACAGATTTAGGTGTCGCTCAAATCCCCAGTCACAGCTAAATCTGTCCCTGCAAAGAATTAGCCTAACATATTACACCCTTGGTAAAGGAGCGCGAGTCCAAATCAGGGTGCATAGTGTGATCTTCCTCCCCAGGGCAATGGCTGGAGATGATGGGAATTGTAACACCCTAGATAGTCCTCAATTTATGACCACCATGGGGACATGAATTTCAGTTGCTAACTAATGCGGCCATTAAGTGAGTGGTGCCCAATATTACACCTCTTTTGCTGCAGTCGTTAAGCAAATCACTCTAGTCATTAAGCAAACCATTTGTTATGTATTTATTTATTTTATTTTATGTTTCATATTTTTAAACTCTCCATCCCCCTCAGGCAGGGGCTGTAGGTGGTCCAAAAGTCCTGACGATATGACCACAGTTGAGCCCAAAATTTATGTTGCTAAATTTGATAAATTTGTTAAGTGAATTTTGCCCTTTTTACAACTTTTCTTGCCACATTTGTTAAGCGAGTCACTACAGTTGTTCAATTAGTTGCGCTGTTGTTAATTGAATCTGGTTTCTCCAACGACTTGGCTTGTCAGAAGGTTGCAAAAGGGGATCATGAAAACTGCAAACATCGTAAATATGAGCCAGTTCCCAAAAGCACCTGAATTTTGATCATGTGACCGTGGGGATGCTGCAGTGGTCAGAACTGTGAAAAATGGTCATACGTCACTTTTTTTCCAGCGCTGTTGTAACTTTGAATGGTCATTACCTGAATTGTTGTAAGTTGAGGACTACCTGCGTACAATAAAATACTCAAATAAAAATACAGCATATAAAAGTTAAACATGCAAAAGAGGCAAGGATGCTTTAACACTGTTAAAATTAATTGAAAGGAGGACGGAGGTCTTTCTGGGCCTCAGCCAGCCCTATGGCTGAATGTTCCTCTAGGCCCAGGATGGTGAACCCAGGCCATACATGCCAGAAGCAGCATGCAGAACCATCTCTCCGGGCACACCAGCCATTGCCTGTTTTGCTCCTCCGGGTTCTGGCGCACATATGCATGCCGGCCAGGTGTTCTCCATGCACGCAGGAATGCCAGAATCCAGAAGAGCAGCTCCCTGGAGTGCTTGCGTGCACCAGCCAGCTGGTCTCTGCAGGCGCATGCATGTTAGAAACCGGAAGACACACCTGGAAGCTAAGCTTCCGATTTCTGGTGCTCCCGTGCACAAGTATTGGGGAGCTGCTCTTCCAGTTTCCAGCACATGCACACACACTCGCATTTCAGCACTTTTACCAATAACTCAAGGTGGCAAACATAGCCAACACACATTTTCTTCACAACAGCAGCCCTGTGAGGTCCATTGAGCCGAGAGTGACTGGCCCACGGGTGACTGGTCCAAGGTCAGCCGGCTTTCATGCCTTAGGCAGGCCTAGAACTCACCATCTCCTGGCGATTGGCTGAAAATCACCCAGCCGGCTTTCATAGCTGAGGCTGGGCTAGAACACGTGTCTCCTGCTTTCTAGTCTTGACCACTGGACAAAGTGGCTCTTACTTTAACTAAGCAAGTAGGTACTAACTTTCTCTCCTTTGTGCTTTCAGAATGGGGGGTATTCCAGCAGTGAATGGCAAAGGAGAGCACCTGCTACTGCATGTTGGGATCATTGATATCCTCCAGTCCTACAGGTAGGCAATATCTTTGTTCCGCTTTGAGAGCTCAGAACATTTCTTTCTTTCTTTCATTCATTCATTCATTCATTTTGTATGCGACCCATTTCGCTGACCAGAGCATCTCTTCTCTGAAGTCTCCTGAGATGTATAACCTTCTGTGTTTCTGGCCATTTATTTTATAAACATTTGAAATATAATGACAACATTAGAGGTGGTCCTTGACTTACAATGTTTCATTTAGTGACAGTTCAAAGTTTCCATCAATGACATCCTGTCCTCACCCTTAACCACTGTTGTAGCATGTCCATGGTCACATGATCAAAATTTGGGTACTTTGTAACTGGCATGTCCTTAAGATGGTGGCAGTGTCCTGGGGTCATTTGATCACCCTTTGCAACCGTCCTAACTGACGTATGATTCACACAGGCTTTCTGCAATGAGTTTTAATGCTAAAAAGTAGGTGTTAAAATACAGAATCTGAAGAAACCCTTCAGCCTCCATTTATGACGGGTTGCCCTTGACTTGCAACCTTTCATTTAGTGACCAAAGTTACAATGATACTGAAAAGAGTGTCTTATGACCGTTTTTCATTCTTACAACCATTGCAGCAACCATCCCATGGCCAGCCAGGTGACCAAAATTTGGACACTTGGCAATTGGCATGTATTTATGACAGTTGCAATGTCCCGGGGGTGGTGGTGGTGTCATTTGATCCTCCTTTGTGCCTTTCTGATAAGCCAAATTGATGGGGAAGCCAGATTCACTTTACAACCGTGTTACTACGATAACTTCACAACTGCGGTGATTCAGTTCAACTGTAGCAAGAAAGGTTGCAAAATGGGGCAAAACTCAATAACCGTCTCTCTTCGCAACAGAAACGTTGAGCTCAGCTGTGGTTGTAAGTGAAAAAAATTAGGGTTGCTTTAAATCTTTTGAATCTCTTTATTCTCTTATATCAGGCACATTGTTGGAGACCATGTTGATGAAGTAGCTCTTTTTCTTTCCATTTCCATTTCTTTCCATTTCCAATTTATCCAAATCTAGACATTATTACAATTTTATTCCCTGTTTGGAAGGGAGGCTTAAGGGACAAATTGTTTTCTTCTGATCTCTGGAACGTTGCATAGTTTTCCTTAATGCAATCATCCATCAAAAGGAACCCTTGGGGGCTTTGATCACTGGGCCTCCTTCCCAACATCCTCTTAGCTATTCTGTGATTAGCGTTTGATGCAAAGTCACTGGTCTGGAAGGGAATGTTCTTGCAGTGACTTTTCATTAGTCATGTTTGCAAAACTGCCGGCCATTCTTTTCAGTTTGTCTTTAATCATGTAGCACCAGTTAATAGAGCCCGGAATTTGCATCATAACTCGTGATAGTTGTAAATCAAAGCACCCACATGACTGTACCCAATTTTATGACTTTTTTTTGGTGACAGTCGCTAAATAAACATAGGGGTCGTTAAGGGAGCACCATGGTTGTTAATTGAATCAATGTATATCTATGGGCACTTTTTGCCAGAAGCTGGCCAAAAAGGCGTAAACCAGCCAACCGGTAGGCTAGGGACAACTGTGAGGAAATGTTGGTGGTTTGCAGAGAAATGTCCCCCCCCCCAAAGCACTCCCCCAAAGCAATTAATCCAGGCTGCAAGGGAACACAAGGCTGCGTCGTCCACATGGCCTGCCCACCCTCTGGCCCCCACCCTTTGGCCGAGCGCAAACCTTACCTTGAGTAGAGCCATCCGAGCTGGAACTGGAAGGTAAGACCAACGGTAGGGGAGGGAAATCCACCCCGGGGTGGCTTGCTGACGTTGGTGGGAAAGTCGGTCCCATATTCCAGAGCTGCAGTAGTCACAGGACTGGCCCTTTGGTCATCCCGGAGCAGCTGCTCCTCCACCCAGGTGCGCCGTCCTGCCATGGACTGGAGGAGCTGCTCCGGGATGACCAAAGGGTGACTACTGCAGCTCTGGTATATGGGACCGACTTTTCCATCAACATCAACCAGCCACCGTCAGTCAAAATTCATCTTAGTGGTCCACGGGATTTGAAATTATGAGTTTGGTGGTCCCTGAGGTCCAAAAGGTTGGCGGCCCATGGCATAAACCATCAGAAAAAGGTCATAAATCGTGGTTAAGTGACTGCGGAACACTAACCGGAGATTCAGTTGAGCCAGTTGTCAAGTTAAAATGCAGTCATGTGACTTCAGGGGATGTTCAGCCATTGATACTCCAGAATTGGTTGTAAGTCAAGGACTACCAGTAAGAGCCGGATTCCACTCGAAATACGGACCTTGTTATAAGTTTGACCAAGCTCTGTATTTCTTTCCCTATTTCCTCTCACGGTAGTCCATGGTGGTGGATGTTGTCCACTCACCAAGTTGTGTTGACTGTTGATGACACCATGGACCATAACACGCCAAGCCCCCTCTGTTCTCCGCTGTTTGGGTCTGCCCAAATTCATGTCCACGGCATTGATGTCACTATCTTCACCGTCTCATCCTCTGCCATCCATCCCTTTCTTCTTTCGCCTTCCCTCTTTTCTGACACCAGAGCCTTTTCCATTTGGTTGTCAAACTACAGGTAGTCCTCAATTTACGACCACAATTGAGCCCTCCTCCCCCCCCCAAATTATGTTGCTAGGTGAGAAATTTTTTTAGTGAGTTTTGCCCCATTTTACGACTTTTCTTGCCACATTTGTTAAGTGAATCACTGCAGCTGTTAAGGTAGCAACCCGGTTGTTAAATGAATCTGGCTTCCCCATTGACTTTGCTTATCAGAAGGTCACAAAAGGGGATCACATGACTCCGGTGCACTGCAACCGTCATAAATATGAGTCAGTTGTCAAGCATCTGAATGTAAATCACGTGACCGTGGGGATGCTGCAACGGTCTTAAGGGTGAAAAATGGTCATAAGTCACTTTTTTTCAGTGACGTTGTCACTTTGAATGGTCACTAAATGAACTGCTGTGAGTTGAGGACCACCTGTATATGATCTTAGTAATCCATGGACTTTCCCAAATCTTGCTCAACTTTATCCTCTCTTTGACTTTCTTGGTGAAGTCCAGTTAAAAGCACAGTAGAAATCTTACTCATTTAATACACGCGAGTGGAACTTTGATGTCATCATTATGGCCTCACCTTGACTTTTTTGACCGCACTTTGAGTGCACCCGGAGAAGAGACTGGTGTTTGGCCCTGTTTTTATTTGGTTCTCCTCTTCCCCCTCTCAATCCTTTGTTTGTCTGTTCCTTCCAGGTTAATCAAGAAACTGGAGCACACGTGGAAAGCTCTCGTCCATGATGGGGTGAGTCTGAATCCAACTGAACGGTAGCAAATGATGGTCCCACCTTGTCCTCTGTTCTGCTGTACTAGAACTAGCCGAGGAAATTAACCTACCCATAATAAAGATGTAAACCAGCGATTCTCGCCCTTTTCTTCACTACGGACTCCCTTTAAATACCTTTTGTGGCCCCAAGACTTAATTCAAGATTCAAATCATAACATTTCCTCAAGCCTTCGTGGACTCCTTGTGAAGACATTGTGGCCCCCAGGGGTCTGCAGACCACAGGTTGAGAACCACTGGTGTAAACAGTTATGGGGCACTTGTGTTTTGTAATTCTCAGGGTACCATAACAGACGGTATGTTCAGACAACATATCAGTCTATAATCAGGACTTATTGGTAAAAGCTGTCTTAAGCCTTACAGCTAGGAAACAGCTGTTTAAGATTTCATAGACTCAGAATCCTAGCAGTGTGGAATTCAAAGGGACCATAAGGATCATGTAGTCCAACTCTTTGCAGACATTCAGTTCAAATCCATAGAATGATGGAGTTGAAAGTGATCCCAAAGATCATCTAGTCCAGCCAATAGGCAGGAAAGGCAATTAAACTATTGTTGAATATTAGCTGTCCGTGCTCTTTTTAGTTACCTCCAGAGTTGCGGAATCCGCACCCTCTGCATACAGACCATTCTACCTGTGTACGGGTTTGGTTTAAGCTTAACGTGTAGATTGCAGGATGTCTCTGCACACAACTGGAGAGTCCTTCATGGAAATTAGGTTTGTTAGTTAGGTTTGGCTATTCCTTAACAGCCTTTTTCTTTTAGTTTCTGGTTGAACTTGAGAAAAGGTGGAGCCTTTACTCTACTTTAAAGGTAAAGGTTCCCCTCGCACATACGTGCTAGTTGTTTCTGGCTCCAGTGGGGCGGTGTTGATCTCAGTTACAAAGCTGAAGAGCCAGCGCTGCCCAAAGATATCTCCGTGGTCATGTGGCTGGCATGACTAAATGCCGAAGGCACACGGAACGCTGTTACCTTCAAAGTGGTCCCTATTTTTCTACTTGTATTTTCTAACATGTTTTCGAACTGCTAGGTTGGCAGAAGCTGTGACAAGTAACGGGAGCTCAGTCCATTACTCAGCACTTGAACCACCAAACTGCCAACCTTTTTGATCGACAAGCTCAGCATCTTAGCCACTGAGCCACCGTGTCCCCATTTACTCTGCTTTAGGAGGAGCTTAAACATGGGTGCTTTAATGAGCAGCAGAAAGGTGCTGCATTTGCTTGGAATAATTTTCAAAACATCCACAGTTCACATTTCTATTCTAGTATAACACTTTTTAATGAATCCTGCAGTCTGATTTTTTTTTTTTTTCCAGAGCCCTGGTTTTGTAACGCATAACATTTTCACAAAACCCTTTTTTCCCTTTCCTGTTTTCCTAGGACACGGTGTCAGTCCACAGGCCCAGCTTCTATGCCGAAAGGTTCTTCAAGTTTATGACCAATACAGTATTCAGGAAAAGCTCTTGTAAGTGTCAAATGCTTTCCTTAGAGGCATTAAAAATGCTATTGGGGGTGTGGGGGGGTGTCGAAGGTGTTTCCTGCACCTGTTGGCAGCTATGGAGATAATAACCTTGGAGGAACTACCCAGAAGGAGTTAAGACAACAGCAATTGCAAAAATGGGCCTTGACCCCAATGGAGGAGGGAAAGCATTAGAAAGAGGCTCAGTCAGATTCCCTGGCAAGATCCTGTTTCAATAAACTATAGTTATACAGGTAGTCCTTGACTTACAACCAATTGTTTAGTGGCTGTTCAAAGTTACAGTGGGACTGAGAAATGACTTACGACCGTTGCACGTTGCAGCATCCTCATGGTCATGTGATCAAAGTTTGGCTGCTTGGCCACTGGTTCCTATTTATGACGGTGGCAATTGTCCCGGGTCCCATTTTGCAACCTTCTGAGGAGTAAAATCAGTGGGGAAACCAGATTCACTTAACAACCGTGTCACTGGGGATCTGTTAAGGGAATCACTGCAGCAAGAAAGATTGTAAAATGGGGCAAAATTCATTTAAGAAATGTATCGTTTAGCAACAGAAATGTTTGGCTCAATTGTGGACATAAGTCGACAACTACCTATAGTTACATACCTGTATACCTATAGTTACAAGTAGTCCTCAATTTACAACCACAATTTCGGAAACCCAAGTTTTCCTTGCTAAGCATGGCAGATGTTGAGTTTTGCCTCATTTTACAACCTTTTTTGCCACAGTTCTCAAGTGAGTTGCGGCATTTATCTAATCCCGCTTTCCCCATCCATTTTGCTTGTCAGGAGCCAGTTGAAAGGTTACAAATAGTAATCACATGACCCTGGGACAGGGCAACTGTCATGAATACGTGCCAGTTGCCAAGTTCTGATCACGTGACCACGGGGATGCTGCAGTAGTTGTAAGTGTGGAAAATGGTCATAAGTCACTTCTTTTCAGTGCCATTGTAACTTCAAATGTTCACTCAACGAATGGTTGTAAGTTAAGGACTATCTGCATCGTGTTTCTGTGAAGTTGGTTTCTTGATCTTGCTTATCTTGTAGGGTTGATAGTACCATATAAAGATACGGTTATTCCCCAGAAATAATTTCTTCAATTCTTCCATGCTGGTTTCTTCTGACCCATAGTGGTATTTTGGCATAAAGAGCCTTTTGCATCATTTATTACACGAGACCATTCTAGGAATAAGTCAGGAGACCAAACCTGGGACAGTTTATACACAAATCATCATACCTAGCGACGTACATAAATTGCAGTGAAGAAAAAAAAAAAGAATTTTCTCATTTTAGCAGAAAAGCAATTGCTTTTGGTATCTTTTAAAATAAGGCTCTATAAACCTCTTTCCTGGTGCCTTCTCCAAGTTGGTTTTTCTCAACCTTGGCTGGGGAATTCTGGGGATTGAAGTCCACACACCGTACAGTTGCCACGGTTGAGAAACACTTCTACAGGTAGGCTTTCCTACAAAAAGAGAGTTAGTAGTCAAGCAGGTGATAATTCGTAGATGGCCTCCTAATTTGGTCCCAAGGCGCTTAATTCCTCAGCGGAAAAGATGCCTGCTATTTTCAGGGAAAGGGTGGGTGGGCTTTCTCTTCTAACAGAACCCCCTTGCTTTCCCCCCCTCTTTGATTCCTCTGCGACACCTGTCATTGCTCTAAACCCCTCGCTCTCCTCCTGCAGCCCTGAAAGCATCTCCCTCAAAGAAAGGACGGAGTGCCTTGTTAGCCGTTAAGCCATCCGGCCCCATGGCTGCGTTCTCTGCCAGCCAGATCCCTTCGGAGAAGGACGAAGTGCAGTATGACCTCCGGGGAGCCAGGAGTTACCCCACCTTAGATGATGAAGGTATTGTGGGTCACTCGGGGCTTTGCTTCGGATTTCCCTGGAGCTGCTCCTAAGGCCCAGTCAAGCTTTCCCCCCACTCTGGCCTCCTTTAAACGGGTTGGTTCTGCCATTCCTTGGATTCCTAGCAAGGTTAAGTGGCTGGGGAATGCTGGGAATTGTAGTCCTGACACCCTGGAGGATGCCAGATTGGGGAAAGCTGCCTTAGTGGCTCAGCTCAACCCCTCCCATCCCCTTTCCCCCCGTAGTGCCAGTAGGTCCCACCATCTCATGACCATTCCTTCAACTTCTTGCTATGCTTTTGCAGGTGCTAAAGTTAACCACGACAGGGGGGAAGGTAAGAACGCTAATTTGTCCCTCTGTTAGTTGATAGTAAGTAGAACTTTAAGAGATAGCGGGTTTCAGGTCATTCCGCTCGTAGAGTGGAAACAAGCCAAGATGGCCTATGGTCAAGCAAGCTGTTTAATACAGGCAGCTTAAGCCCTCCCAGTTGGCATCTCCTACCTGCCAGACCAAGAAAAGCTTCAGAGAAATTTCCAATCATTTGCCAATTCCAGTCAATTTCCAGCCATTAGAATATAAACGAAGAGCAAGCCCCACTTCTCACTCGCACTGATGATGTTAACTAGTTTGGGTAATGAAACGTCTGCAAGAAACCAAGCTCAGATCACCAAGGGCCCTCAGTCACTTGTGCACTTAAGCATTTTATCTGCTCTGAGCTCCCTTTCCTCACAAGGCAGAATCACAAACCAGAGTTTGAACCTGGTTTCTTTAATTTGGAGCTTTCTGTTCCTCTCTGTCTTGGTGGTCACAGCTGTGACATTCAAGGCAACTGGAGGGTGTGCTAGATTGCTTATTTCTCCCTGATTGCAGCTATTTCTACCAGCAGGAAAAGCCAACTGGGAGCATTGTTCCAATTGCAGTTTAATTGTGCTTGTCCCATTGGGAGCATACATGCAAAATGGGCCAAAGATTGTAAAAAAAAAAGTCCTTGCTCTACATGACTTGCAAAAGACGATTCTGATTGGTTTCCAAACAGTACTGTGGAAGTGTTGGCAGCAGAAACATCCCAACACTTTATCAGAAGTCTGTATGACTTAAAGCAGGGGTCTCTGCAACCTCAACAACTTTTAAGACTCGTGGAGTTCAACTCCCAGAATTCCCTAGCCAGCAGTGAGGGAATTTGGGAAGAATTTTAGGAGCCGAAGTCCACAAGTCTTAAAAGTTACCAAGGTTAGAGATCTCATGCATTCTTCCCCAATCTAAAGCAGGCCAAAATTCTTCTGGCTTAGAATTCTGGGAGTTAATTGTTCAAGGCATTTTAGTGGCATTGGGCCTGGATGGCCAACCTCTCACCCCCCAAGCTATTTACAAGTTGTTTTGGAAGTTAACGCACATTACCCACCCTCACGCCCATGGTCATGCACTCACATTTTGGGTTTTTAGCAACTGGCTCACCTTTATGGCTGCTTGTACCATCCTGTGGTCATGTGACTATGATTTGCAAATGTTTTTGTCATTGTGTGACATTTACTTCCAGTTTCCAGCAAAAAATGCCCATTGGGGGAAATAGATTCACTTCTCAACCACCATGTTGGCTTAAGGACTACCCCAAAAATGTTCAAAAAAAATCAGATCTGGTGATGGGATGCCTCGATTTATAACCATATCACTCCAGGCTCAGTTATGGTCGTAAACCGAGGATTTCCTGTGTATTATCCAAGACAGGGTTTGGGGGGTAAAAAAAAAAACAGAGGAAATGAGTGAGGACAACCTTACTCAGCACAGAGGAGAGAAAGACCAATTAATTTTTAGCAGCACCAATTGAAAGAAAGGAATTTCTACCACAGGGCTCTAATCTTATGTAAATTCCTCTTCTAACTCCCTCTCGTTCTTTCTTGTTCTCTCTCTCTCTCTCTCTTTCTCTCTCTCTCTCTTCAGTGCATTTTGCTCTTGGGAGTTGTGGTTTGCATTTGCATGTATAAAAGATAATTTATACAAACGGATTTTGAGGAAGGATTTAGAAGTTGGCAATGTTGAAGCACGAAAAGAGATGGGAGCAGAACTAGAAGAATTTCTTATCTTGGGCATTTTAAAATGGCACTTAAATATTTCTTATTAAATATTTCTTAATCTCTAAGAGATTGCAAGATTCATTGGGGAAAAGGTGCCATGTAAAATCTCAACTCCTGTTCCTGAGGAAAAGTACACTTTCATGTTTCTCTGTTTTGTCTGCCACAAAGAAGGATCACAAATGGCTTCATTTTTTTTTTTAAAAAAAATTGAAATTATGAATCGGTTACACTCCTTGTTCTATAATATGATCAGGACTGTTCAGATGTACAAGGATCATTTGCCATGATCCAGAACATTACGTTTTTTGTTTACCCAGCCTCAGTATTCTTTCTATTTTTTCCTTTCTCTTCATCATGGGCAATATAGGCCGGCCCGATCTTCTTCCCTGCACCCCTCCCTCTTTCGAAGAAGCAACCACTGCCTCTATAGCAACCACGCTCTCTTCCACATCTCTTTCCGTGCCAGAAAGATCTCCTTCTGAATCCTCAGAGCAGCCCAGATACAGGTGAGCCCCTACTTTCCCCCCTATTTAGCCAGGACCCCCAAGAATTTAAGTTCTCTCAAGTTGTTTCAGAGATCCAGAAAGCAAAGGGGTCCCTTCTGGATCCCTTTCTTTGGAAGAATTGGCAATAGGAGTATCAGCTTGGAGGGAATGGATTGATTGATTTATTCAGTGGAATTTATCTGGTTGGACTGTGGGTGGTTTACAGATAGACACATAATAGAAACACCATTTTAACAATTGCAGAAATAAGAGAACACTATAACTCACTATAATAGCACAATCTAATTCCAGTGTCTGAGCTAGGTATTTACCACTTAAATTTGCTTTATTTATTTATCTCTGCCATGTATAAGACTGGTGCAGTGGCCTAGAGGTGGAGCTCTCGCCTCATGATCAGGAGGCTGTGAGTTTGATCTTAGGTAGCGGCAGATATTTCTCTCTCTCTAGGCACAATGAGTAATTATCTGCTATGAACTCTGCCTTGGCAACAGGAAGGGCATCCGGCCAGTAAACACTCCGCTCCATTCCGTTGCCTCGACTCCACCCTGATGTGAAGGATTACAGAGTCATTAAAAGACCCCAAAATTCTATAAGAGGGTTCAATGGCTCAGCAGTTGGAAAGCTGAAGAGCCTGGGTTCAAGACTGCTTGATGGGGTGAGCTCCCATTACTTGTCCCGGCTCCTTCCCATCTAGCAGTTTGAAAGCATGCAAATGCGAGTAGATAAATAAGTACTACTTTGGTGGGAAGGTAACAGCGTTTTGTGCGCCTTACGCTAGCCATATGACCACGTAAGTGTCTTTCGGGCAATGCTGGCTCTCTCGGCTAAGAAATGGAAACGAGCGCTGCCTTCTAGAGTCGGACACAAGTGGACAGGGGAAACTTTTACTTTCACCAGGCATGTATATGCAGCTCAGTTCCAGAAGGGCTCTTGAGAATGCCATAAGTGGACGGGATGTGACTTTATTTGGGGCTGTTTCATAGAAGGGGAGCCCTTACATTGGATGTCTGTGGAGAGTCTCAGTCATCCCGGTGCTTTTTCAAGAGGCCACGGGACTTTCTTTGTTTTCCCTTGAAAACGTTTTGCTTTTCATCCAAGACGTTTCTTCAGCTCTGAAGAACCGAGAAGCGAAATGTCTTCAAAGAGAAAAAAAAAAACAAAGAAAGACCAGCTCCTTCTTGAAAAAACACCTCCGGGATTTACATTGGATGAGACAGAGAGAGAAAGCTACCTTGCTACCTTTTTAGTCATTCTCATGAAGTGGGTTTTTTTTTGTTTTGTTTTTTTGCATGGTGTCCCTTCACAGGCGGCGCACACAGTCCTCAGGACACGAAGGAAGGTGAGTTGGATACTTTCGCACATCTTGGCCACCTCCCTAGGAATCCCTGGATGTCATTGCAAATCCAAGCATTCTTTTATTCTTTTCAACTCTCCTTTGTGCAAGGCCTCACAGGCTAACATATTATTAATAGGCCCTTCAATCTCTAATCCTTTACTATCTCCATACTTTATAGGAATGAAACATGACCTTCCCTAGTACAGCTAGTCCTTGAGATATGATTGTTTTGTTTAGAGACTCTTCAAAGTTATAATTAGCTAAGTTGGGTTGTTATTTTACAGGTAGTCCTCGACTTACAACAGTTCATTTAGTGACCATTCAGAGTCACAACGGCGCTGAAAAAAAGTGACTTAGGACCATTTTTCACAGTTACGACCGTTTGCAGCCTCCCCATGATCCCGTGATCAAAATTTGGCTGCTTGGCTATTGGTTCATGTTTATGACAGTTGCAGCGTCCCAAGGTCACGTGATCCCCTTTTGCAACCTTCTGACAAGCGAAGTCCCTGGGGAAGCCGGATTCCTTTCACAGCCACGTTACGAATCAATTGCAGTGATTCACTTAACAACTGTAGCAAGAAAGGTCGTAAAATGGGGTAAAATTCACTCAACCAAAGTCTTGCTTAACAACAGAAACTTGGGGCTCAGTTGTGATAAGTTGAGGACTACCTGTATTTATTTATATTTCACTGTTTTGAACTGCCCATCTCCCTCAGGGTTGTTGGTTAAGGGGTCATGACTGACTGGCAGATGATAGCTTTTGTTAGAAAGTTATCTTTGGTGAAAAGACATTTTAGTAGGTGGACAGGATCTATGAAAATTTGCCACGGCCAACTTCCTGCGGCCAACTTGTCATGGCCAACTCGCGGCAAGACATCTCCCTGGAGCAGGGATCTCCAACCTTGGCAACTTTAAGACTTGTGGACTTCAACTCCCAGAGTTCCTCTAGGAATCCCTTCTAGCTTTGCTGTCTGAGGAACTCTGGGAGTTGAAGTCCACAAGTCTTAAAGTTGCCAAGGTTGGAGACCCCTGCCCTGGAGGACAAGAGTTACACTGTTATCAAAGAAATGATGGAATAGAATCATTAAAGAAAGGATGCAAAAGGAGAGACCAAATGAAATCTGAATGACAAAAATTGAAACGATTTTTTATTTATTTTAAATAATTAAATTGGATTTATAAATTGTCCTGCAGCAAGTTGTCCTGCAGTGAGTTGGCCACAGTGAGTTGGCTGTGGAGAGTTGGCCGTTGTAAGGTGACCACAGTGAGTTGTCCATGGCAAGTTGTCCCATTCCAGGGTGGACACAGCCATTGGAGGTTTGAATCTGGTCATAAGTAGCTTTGGGGAGGGGTCTGCTGGAACTTTGAGTGGCCGAGGACTGCCTGTACTAGATTTGTGAAGTTGGGTATTTTTTTCCTTTTCTGCAGGACTCGCGAACAGGCCCGAGCGGAAGATGACCTCCAGCAGATAACCGTGGAGCTCAAGCCGAAGTGTGATATTGAGATTGTGGTGCCCGATGTGGCTGCTGCAGGGTTAGAGCCCTTTTCTATTACAGATCAGTTGTTCTCAGCCGTACCTGCCTTCATGCTCCTATTTAATGCCTACAGTCTCCAAACATTACTCAGGGGGGCATCTTTCCATTGTAGATGGGAAACCAGCTCTGAAATCTACTCACTATTTCAAGAAATAGCAGTAGCACTTTTTATATACCGCTTCACAGGGCTTTTACAGCCCTCTCTAAGCGCTTTACAGAGTCAGCCTCTTGCCCCCAACAACCTGGGTGCTCATTTTACCCACCTTGGAAGGAGGGAAGGCTGAGTCAACCCTGAGCCTGGTGAGATTTGAACTGCCAAATTGCAGGCGGCTGCCTGTCAGCAGAAGTAGTTTGCAGTACTGCACTCTAACCACTGCGCCACCGAATTGTGAGTTTTTTCCCCTGTGGCAGAGGAAACACATAGAAAACAAACAGTTGGTTTAAAAGCCACGTTTGTGATTTAATTTAAAAATAGCATCCCTTCCTATATATAATACAAGGTAAATCGTCCTCGATTTACAACAGTTTGTTTAGTGACCGTTCAAAGTTACAACGGTAGTGAAAAAAGTGACTTATTTTTCACACTTAGAACCACTGCGGTATTCCTGTGGTCATGTGACCAAAATGCAGTCACTTGGCAAATGACTCGTGTTTATGATGGTCGCAAGGGTCCTGGGGTCAGCAACCTTTTGACGAGCAAAATAAGTGGGAGGCCAGATTCACTTAACAACCGTGTTACTAGATTAGCAACTCCGATGATTCATTTAACAACTGTGGCAAGAAAAGTCGTTCAGTGGGGCAAAACTCAATGTCTCACTTAGCAATGGAAATTTTGGCCTCAATTGTGGCCGTAAACCGAGGACTCCCTGTACTTCTTTCAGTTCTATATCCACTACACATAGAAACCAACTCTGGATGGAGGATGGCTTTCTTTAACATCTGCTGTGAGCCGACTTGCCAAAAATGAGATGATAAACAGTCTTGGGCTATTAAGACAACATATAATTCAGTTTGACACTCACGCACCCAGTTCATACGGGCATGTTTGACCCTCCTGCTCAGCTGTCATACAGTTTTTTTAGTTTTGGCTTAGTACATTGTGTGAGCTCAGCCGTTGCAGTTGTAAATCACAACGGATGGCTGGATGCACATAAGGATTCAGCCCGTTGTGGTTCCTTCAGTTAATCAAACCAGAACACTGTAGTGTGTCGATTCCCGTCTCCTTTTCAAAGGAATGATCAGTCAGTAACTCTCAGTTCCCTGAAGGTTCAAGCACAAAGTAGAAATGTTACACATATTTATTGATCGATTAATTCAAATTATTATAGGGACACCCATCTAAACAAGGACTCTGGGTGGCAAACAAAATGAAAGTAAAAAATAATTGCAATAATACAAAATTTAAAATGCATAAGAGAGCCAGGTTGGTAGTGCAGGGGTGGCAAACTGACATCACGGTGGCGTCACGTGATGTATCGGGACTTTTTCCCCCCTTCTCTAAACCGGGCATGACCAGTGCATGGTGCATCTGGACCATGGGCTGGGAGTTTGGCAGTCCTGGTCTAGTGGTTAAGGCACCAGGCTAGAAACCAGGAGACAGTGAGCTCTAGTTCCTCCTTAGATACGAAAGCCAGCTAGGTGACTTTGGGCCAATCAGCAGGAGTCTGTGAGTTCTAGTACCGCCTTGGGC